CCGACGCCGCAGATTTTCGTAACGGATCTCCTCGAACACATCATCAGCCTCATCAGCAACCTCTCGAAGCCTCTCAAGCCAAGCTTTCAGGTGAGGGTTGCCGGCAACATGCATCTCATCAGCGTCCTGCAACACACCTCCCACCATCTTCATTATGTTGCAAAACCCTTCCAGGTCTTGCCTCCATCCTAAGGCCAAATTGAGCTGCTCTGAAGCAAGAGCAATCACCTTGGACACAGTGGCATCTACAGTAGGACCAAGAACAAGGTCCGCCATATTAACTCGAAGGGTTTGGAAAATTTTCTTTAGCAAAAGAGAAGTGAAGAATATGGTGTTTTGTGATGATGAAGGTGGATCAAATGCAACTATATAATATCCGAAGTCAATGTAGGAAGAATCCAATGGAAAATGATAAAGGGGATGAATTACATGGCAAGTGCCACGAAAGAGAACCATTTACTACAAGAACAATTTGCAGTACAGAAAGCCTTTTATTAATTTAATTATGAAATTAATAAATTTTACGAAATAATTTTATGAAGCCTAGGAGACTTTTGGGGCCAACAAGGAAAAATGCTCCTTCTTTCACTTTCACACTTGACAATCAATTTGACATTTTTGTGCTCGTCGTCATCGTTGCTTTATTTAATAATTAATTTAATTAATGCTTATCAGAAAGCCTTAATGCGTCCAACTGTATGGTAGCTGGCAAGGATTAAAAAAGTAAGAACTGTTCTAAATTTTATGGTTGAATAGTTGTGTGAATTCAATGTCTATGAGACTTTTGGGGCCAACAAGGAAAAACGCTCCTCCTTTCACGCTCGACAATCAATTTGACATTTTTGTGTTCATCGTTTCGTTGCTTTATTTAATAATTAATATTGATTTTCTTACCTTGTATTTTTAATATATAAATTAATAATATATTAAATATATTTTTTATTATAAATATATATAAATATAAAAATTTATATTAATTTTAATATCAAATAAATTTAATTATATAATTACTAAATAAAAAATTAATTTTTTATTTTTTAATATAAATTTATAATAAAAAATATATTTAATATACTACCAATAACTAAGGGTAAAGAAACCCAATTAATATATATACATTCCATGTAAATCAAACGGCATTTATGAGATGTTTTTCTTTTCTATCATTCTAATGAGAAATGGTGGGAAGTTACCATCTATATAAGTTTTTTTTTATGCAATTAGTAATTAATCGTGTTATCGGGATGATCATCAAAAAACCCGACTGCAGCTTAACCACTTAATTTCTTCACGAGACTTCGAATTTTTTTTTTATTATATTTTTTTAAATCTTGAATTGTAAAATTAGAAACAATTTTATTTTATCTTTTAATTAAAGTTACACATATTATTTAAGTCAATTTTAAAATTTTTTATTAAAAACTTATTCTTAAATTCTTCAAATTGTTAATAAGGTTTTGAATCTTCAATAAAAACGTATCGTGGCACGTAGAATGAATCGGACGACCACTTCAATGAAGAATTAATCTTGGTCCCACAGAAGTTAATTTGTTCAAACTTTGACCACGTTATTGAAGGAATTCAAATGATATGCTTCGCAGGTACTTAGAGTAAATGTGCAAATAAGAATATGGATTTTATAATTTTTTTATTTAGGTTAAAATTTTATT